TCTAATAGGCCTTTGGAAGTGTTCGTGAAAAAATAAACTTGTTTTGCCCTTAATAAACTTTCATTGAACCAAGGAAATAAGAAGCATTTTGCCATAAAACTACAATTCTATCAGAAGTTAGTTGAACAGAACAAGGTTTTTACCAACAGCAAACATGCCTGCAGACGCTTTGACAAAAACTTGCAAAATGTAAAACTGCTTTTTTTCTGAGATATTCTGATGTGAATCAGTTATTTTGAAAAGCGGGATATTGATGAAATTTCCTTACTGAGCTAATCTGTCTTAATTGGTTCAAACTGAAAAATCACTTCCCGGTTTTTTGTTAAAAATAAGTGATAAAACATGAACTTAACTTCTGAGTTCCTGCAAGCTGTTGCGGGTGATTTACCATATTTTTATATTTGATCTGAATCACTACTGGAATTTTCACTCAAATCTCATTGATTCACTTCTCACTAATCAACTGTTTGTCGTTGCAATACTCTTGATAAATTTTACATTCTTTAAGTATTCTGCAATGCAGTGAAGACATGTGGAGACAGTAAAGTTTTTTGTAAGGATAGACCAAGGGTTAGAGTATAATTTCAGTTCATAATATGTTTCGATTGGAAATACATAGCGTACTTGAGCATTGTCAAATAATTTTACTAGATCTCCCAGGGTATCTAGCGGTGAAACACAAAAAGGAACTAATTTTCCAGTGAACGCGTCTTTATGATGGTCTCGGCACCGTCTGTCTGTATAGCGCAACAGAGAAGGAGTTTTTTCTGTTTGTGAAGACCGTTCGAATGGCCAAGTTTTTCGGCTTACCGAGAACCGAGTAAAACTCCATGCCCAGCTCAAGCGGGAGGTTTTTATTAGTGAAGAGAATCGAGAAAAACTCCCGTTACTTGGGCTTATGTGATAAGCTGCAGATCTTTGGCAGAATCTTCGGGATTCTCCCATAATCTCTCAATGGTAAGTGAGGTTGGGTGTATCCGGCAGTTAATTAGATGGTCCGTGGTGTTCAGTCCTATGTAGCAACTTGGGCAGACGTCGGGTATAGCGTTGTTTAGCCTGTGGTGGTAGCTGGCGAGGTGAGTTGAAAATCCAGATCAGTGATCATCGAAAAATGGGCAGTGTATATCGAGTTTTCCAGCCAAATTTGCATTCATTTGGTGACAAAATGGGGGGTCTTCTGCCAAGTAGCCTGGAATTTTCGTTCAGAAAGTTTTGTGATTCTGTGGTGTGAAAATTTTTGATCCCGGTAGCGTATTCAAGCTTAGAGAATTTCGCTCGGTTTTTGTTAAGCAAATGTCCAATATCTGGTTTGAACATACTTTTGAGGATAGTTATGATATTCCGATTAATGCTTTCGTTGTTAATAGTTTGGTGGTCAGCTATGCGCTCCTGGTAAAATCCGAGAAAAAACAGTTTAGAAAGCATTTCGTTGTGTTTTTTAACCGCTAGAACTTTTGTATTGTCACGTAAAGGTTTTATGTCACTCATTCTTAAGCATCCGTTTGTTAATTTCGCGTTGTTTAATTTATTTGTAAGCGTTGCCAGTTAGTGTAACTTATTGTTGGGGTTCAAATTGGAGATGCATATCCTCTCCCAGTTGCCTTATTATTTACGCTGAGTGTTTCTATGGAGCAACGCCAAGTACTGTTAGCAAGTTTTCAAGTACATAGTTCCTTTTATGCAGTTTATCACAGGTCTTAGTGCAGTTTTCACATGAGTTCAGTTGTATGTCAAATGTGATTCTTAGAATTTTGGGAAGGCAAGTATCGGGTAAACTGATTCTCTGAACCCTACTTTTTGGTTTTGATTTAAATTCAAGGTTATAAGTTGAGAATACTGATGTTGTGGACTTATCTTTGGTAATATTAAGTACTAGTGTTATGAGGGTTATGACGCATGCATCAGTGGTCACTTTGATGTAATCAATTTCTAGTACATAGTTTTGGAATATGAAGATTAAATAGGGCCGCGCATAGAACACCATCTGGTGGGACACCTTGCTTCACCTTCTTGCGTTTGTATTTTGGGTCTCTAATTTTTACATAAGTATGTCTACCTCGCAGGCATGCAAGAAAGCACCTTTTGGTGTTCTTGGAAGGATTCGAGCTGGCGATGTCGTTGAGCAGATGGTGGTGGTCAATAGTATCAAAGGCTGAAGTCAAATCTAGGGCAATCGTTAATGCTTTGAAATTGTTTGGCCTGGTTCAAAATAGCTTTTATTAGATTGAGATACAGTTTAGGGCAGTATTAGTTGATCAAATCCGTGTTGATGTTCCTAAAAATTTTCATTAAAACTGAAGTCGGGCAACGCTCGATAATTTTTTTTCACTGGAGAAATCAGTGCAATTTTTCGGTAGCTCTTATCTTTTTCGGGATCTGTAAAAGGTTTAGGCAAGGGTATTAATCTACCCATTTTCCATTTTTTATTTATGGTGCATTACTCAATAAGAGGCTTATCAACATACTGAGGTATTTCAAAGATTGTTTTCTAATGAAATGTAATTAAATTGGAGCGATTTTAACAGGTGCAAATGCTTTTCTTTTCTTACTTGATTTTTTTCATCCTTTACCAATTTAAGTAAAATTTTCAATTCTTTTTGAATTGCTTGATCATTCGAATAAATGCTCCTTTTTGCCTTTTTATTTTTTTTTGGGCATCGAGTGAACTGTTGGTTGAAATTATTACAGGTTTTTTGTGATGTGAATGGGTTCGTTGTCGAAGATAATAAGTGTTTTCTTGGAGTTTTGGCATTGGTGTTCGATAAACCTTTAACCGTATACCAGAGTTTACTTGTAAACCGTCGGATATCGACGTTGCCAAGAAACTCAATTCAATTTGTTCTTCTGTTATCTTTACAAAGAATTTATTCATATCTCATTTTAATTCACCCATTTTGTGGTCTCCGAGACCACAAAATCTCGGAGACTACAAAAAGAGTGAAATAAAATGAGAAATGAATAAATTCACACCTTTTTTTGCGTGTTGTGAATGGGATCGTTGTCGAAGATAATAGGTGCTTTTCTTGGAGTTTTGGCAATGGTGTTGGTTAAATATTTAACCGTATACCAGAGTTCACTTGTTGCCCATCGAATGTCGACATTGCCAAGAAACTCAATCTATTTTTTTCTTCTTTCATCTTAAAAAAAATTTCATTTCTCATTTTAATTCACTCATTTTGTGGTCTCCGAGATCTTGTTCTTGAAAAGTGTCCCTTGTTAAGGAGAGTTTAAAAGCTTCTGTTGAAAACTTCTTTAATGCATCCTTGAAGTATATGTCTAAATGCCCCGCCGCAAACTGATTTCCGGAAGGTTGTCTCGCCTTCTATAGTTGATTTGAGTAGAGCTTTTTTCAAAACGCTTTTTTGCTATCTTTACAAAAATTATTCCAGTCTGCTTTTTTGAAGTTAAGGGTTGTTTTTTGTTTGCCTTATTGCATCTGTATTTGTTGGTAGGTGTTGGATGGAAGCAGTATATCAGGGGCTTCAGCTTGAATGTGATGGGATGTAGATATTAAAAACTGTTAAAGATAACGTGTTTATAACTTTTGTGATTGCTTATTCTGTTTGGGGGTCGTTAGGTGATAATTTTGGTGTTTGATAATTTATGTCTTCCTCAAAATGAATGCTAGTCCGCTTCATTGCCTCGACTGGTAAATCGGTTTTGTACAACAACTTGGTGTTCATTAAGAGGCTTGGGTTCATTCGTTAGAAAGTTTTCTTGGACTGCTGCAACCATCTGTCTGTTGTAGCCATGTGGTGGATAATGTTATCTAGTTTTGGTCTAAGGCCACTTGCATTTTAACGTAGTATTCTATGTTGTGGTCATGTTTTGGTGGTGGGGGTTGCTGTTGTTTTTTAAGGGTGTCGATGGGGTTGTTTTTTTTAATTAAGGGTGTCGATGGAGTTGATTTTGCAGTAGTCACAATTCAAAGGGTTAGATTTTGCCATAGTCATAGTAAAAACTGCGTGACCTTGATTGATAACTTTAAGTGTGGAGCTTCTTAGGTGTATCCACCCTCCGAAGTGGTATCAGACATAGTATTGGTTAATGATAACTTTATTGTGACAAATACTGCAGTTATGTGGGCCAAGGTTTGGTTCGATTCCGCGGCAGAATAGTAGGGTGAGAACTAGAAGTCCAGCCAGTAACAAGTACATGAGCAGGTAGACTGGTTCTGACTGCTCATTATTCCAAAACCCATGTGGTGTTTCTTTTCTTTGTTCTCTCTCGTTTTATCTCTTTTTTCTTTTCTCGACTCTCCTATTTCTTCGGCTTCCATTTTTTTTATTTTTCCCTTCTCTCTCTCTCTCTATCTCTATCTCTTTCTCTTTCTCTCTCTCTCTCTCTCTCTCTCTCTCTCGCTCTTTCTCTCTCTCTCTCTCTCTCTCTCTCTCTTTATCTCTGTCGCAGCACTCTCTCTCTCCTTTTCTCTCTCTGGCTCTCGATACGAGACCGATGTAGAATAAATGGAATTTGGGAACCACACTGTTGAGTGATGCGTGGTCCATCCGCGTAGAGGCACTCATTCTTGGAATCTGAAAGTTGAGGTAAAAAGATAGTTCAGGCTAAATATGACACCAAAGCTTAAGAAAACATAACTTTGTTGTGGGGCCTTAATTTTTTGTCGTATATGTTTATGATTCTTTTCAATTTTTTTTCTGAGATTGTCTATAAAACAATGATTTTCGCCATTGTTTTTTCTGAGCTTGTCTACATTAACAACGGAGTTAAAATTTTTAAATTATTTTTATTGTGTTTGCAGCTTCCAACTGATTCTGCAACATTCAATTTCAAGATTATTTAGAAATCGGAGGTCATCCCTTTCATTTTCCTAAGTAACATTTTCGTTATGTGTGCTGTCAAGTGCTTTCATATCCTTTTACATAGCGGGACTGCTTGAATGGTAAGCTCTTCCCTCTGCCCGCTCTAAATTGAAGGATTATAGGAAATTACCAAAACCATTAAGGTTTCATTACTGCGCTTCTGTTATTGTCAACTAGTTGCCCTTGTCTACATCTATGCAAAGAAAAATGACTGTTCAGTTAAGAATGTATTTACGTTCATGACAGAAATGCCAATAAAATTCGAATTTAAATTTTATTGTTTTCAGTTACCTATTCATTATTATTTTTTGATACTCGAATAGACAGAAACGAATAGGCATTTGAAATTATAATTTAACAGTTTTAGTATAAGCTTTTCTTCTACTGAAGATATACTTAAATATCTATTATAAGCTTGAACCACTCATGTTAAGAGCAAGAACAAAATCTAATTTATGAACAAGTGTGAAAAAATAGCGACATACTCTTTCATCCTCGAATTAGCGTCGGCTAAAGACCATAATGTCTTTCCTAATTTTCTACATATTTGGTAGTGTGGCATAAAATTCAGTTAATACAGTGCAAAACCTTCAAGTGCATATTTGGTGCTACCAGCAGTGACTGAAATAGCTCTAATAGAAGATGTAATTGAATCGTTTATGACCAACTGGCATATGGTACGTCTCTTTACCTTTGCACTGCTTTTGAAATTTCTGTGCTCTACTTATTTTGTTCCGCTGATTACTAAAATATGAATAAAACCCAGCCAAAAGTGAGTTTAATTGAAGTTAGTGCAAATTAGTTTTCTGATTTTCTAAGTTAGATCTTTTTAACCTAATTTTAAAATTTTCATTGTGGTTTGTTCGTTTTACATTGTATAGCAAAACGACAAACCTAAATGATTTCAAGCAGAATTACTCAATTGACGAACAGTTTGGTGTCTGTAGGTATTTGGAACCCAGAGACAAGTCTTTTAACAGGTTAAAAGGTAAGTGGAGTTTACTTTTAAAAACTCTATGGAGTCCGCGTAAAATACCCGTAACTTAGAAATTGTCGGCACATTTTTTGCGGCTTCCGCAACAAGCAATCTTAGCTAGTAGCTCTGAATTCCGCAACTGCAAGCATATTCCGCAAAACTTTTCAGCGGAAACCGCATATGCAAGCGGATTCCGCAAATTGTAAGTGGATCCCGCTTATATGTTAAATTGATTTGAACCAGTTCTTGCATATGAACAAGTAAAATTAAAAGGATAGAATTAACAATTCACAGCGGAATCAACGAACAGGTCGTAAGTTAATATTCGGTTAATTAAATCCTTGAAAGTTCCTTTTAGTGTTTGGTTGGGAAATTTTTCAGCAATCATTTTTTTGGATCATTCGGAAGCACAACCATTGATTAAAGCCAATATGTGAGGTTCGTGGGTTGTAAAATTTGCAAGTTCAAACTCACCATTAGCAATTTCTAATTTTTTGTCCGGTAAATTTATGTTTTATTAGCAGCACATAAGATTCCAAATTCAATTTTCAGTTTAGAATCGCTAAATTCTGACCTATCTTTTTTGGATTACTGAGATTAACAACTGTACTTGTCTGTTCTGGTTTTTTGGCTGATAAAAAGTTTTGCAATGAAGGCCAAAATGAAGCAAACTTAATTTAGTTGAATTGAAGGGCAATTGAAAAGATTTGATGTAATAATTTTTTTCAGTATGTCCAGCTGGCAGGAATTGTGATCGAAATTGGGAATAAGTTGGCAGGAATTGAATTGAGATCGAAGCTGGGAATACGTTGGCAAGATTTGAGATCGAAGTTGGGAGTAAGTTAACAGGAGATCGAATGTCTGGGAATAAGTTGACGGGAATTGAGATCCAGCATTTAGGGGCATGTTGGCAAGGAGTGAGAACGAAAGTTTGTGAGTAGCTCAACTGTTAGTAGTAATTGAGATTGAACTCGCTAGTGATCACCATGTAAAAAAAATAGTGATTGCTAATTTTTTTTTATGTAACTGAAACGCGCAAACAAAATCCGGATTTTGCATACAACTTGAGGGATTAGCTTTTATTTAGCGGAACCCGCTTTCACCTTGTTGATTCCGCTGACAGTTGTAAACTCGTCAACAGGCCAGTTTTGTTATTCAAATGTTTTATTGTTTGTTTTGGTTTTAACAATCTGTTCCGGAATCTGCAACTACTGTCGCAGATTCCGCGATTTCGCTTGTTTTTGGACCAAATTTGAGTGGTTAAGAGTTTTAAGTTCTTCTGGAAGCCAATTTCGACCTTCTCTTTGACCCGGCCAGAACCAACTTCTTTCGTTTTGAAAATAATCCAAAATTTGTGCTAAAATTCGAAACTAAGATCACAAAAACTATTTGTGCTAAGATTTTGGTTAAATCAGTTTCGTGTTACAAAAATTCAAAAACAATTCGAGGAGACTATTGAAAAAAAAGAATTCATAACAACAAAAAACTAATGTTTGCGTTTCATCACGAACTGTACTAAATTCTTGCATTTTTCCTTTAAAAGTAATGCCCGAAAGTTTTTAATCTGGGGTGTACCAGGGTAGTTTTTCTTAGAATGTTTCCTATTCACAAAGACAATTTCGACACCCAAATTTTTCAGCCCAAAAATTATCAAAACCTTGGCCTTTTTTCAAAGCTGCTTAGCCTTATATTCTGAACAAAAGTTTTCAAAACCAGATTAAGCCAAGAACTTTTTAGCAAAATTTGAAAAAATCTGAAGAATTTCTAACTCACTTGGATCCAAAAAAGAAAGTTACCCAATTGAAAAAAAATGCAAAAATTCGATTGCCAAACTTTCAGCCCAGAAGCATTTTGCTTTAAATTTCAGAAACCCAACTGGTTTTCTCCTTAATCTAAAGGTTAAAAAAAATCTTCAGCCTATGCTTGCAAGTATTTGAAAAAAAAACTTGAAAAGTCTCAAAATACACTGTACCCGAAGCTCAAAGCTGATTGAGCTCTAACTCAATATATTTTTTAACCACTGGAATAGCACTTGGTTTGATTGAATAAAAAAATTGATCGTGATTAATAGTGAAAATTCAAGAGAGCTTTATCTAACGGAAACAACTTAGCAATCGCTACCAACTGAGCTGGTAAAATTTTTAATCCGCCATGTCTAATGAGCTAAAATTTTTTAATTACCTTTTTCTATGGCTCCAGCGAAGCCTAATTTACAGTAGTTAATTGACCTCTACAGAAGCCCCTAAAAACGAATATGTCAAGTTTACTTTCGAGGAGGTAACGTCTTGTTTCGATCTTCTCAACAAAATCGCACACGACTTTGCTGTTTTTTTTCTACTAAGATTGGCTCGGCATTGTTTCGACATTACGAACATGAAAGTGCGACCTACTAATAAAAGTCAAGAGCATCGTCAATTCTACGGTTGCTGACTTTTCTACTTACTATTCTACTTACAGTTTGATTACAATCGACATAGATGCTAAACAAACGGAGCTAAAAACAAACGGAGCTAAAAATCAGGCAAAAACAATGTCACCACTCAACAACTGCTTCAGCATGCATTTGATTTCAGATCAACATAACATGCTAATCAGGACACATTCAACTTTTGCGCTCCATTACGATACAATTTCTCACCTCAACTTGTTTCTAACGCAACTCCCATATGGAACTACAACTTAACTCACGAAGCCCAGCTGTCAACTGAAAATTTCCGATATGAGCTACTAACAACTTCAAGCAAATAGATCTGTTACTGCAACTGAAGTGTACGTTGCGATCTATCTCAGCAACCATCATAGAACTAAATCGTTTTCAAGAGATCACAATATTTTTGGCAATCACATCATTTCTGGCACTGGTTAAAGAAAAGTCAGCAACTATGCTTACAATCGTCCGATTACTGGCAGCAACTTTAGTCTCAAGTGTTCAATTTGCCGGATTTTAGACTGAAGAAGGTTGACGCCAACCCACTGGATTTAACATCTGGTTCAAATTTGTTAGAATGCTGCCAAAATTAGACTCCACGAAATCTACATTTAGATTCTATAGAAACTTTTTAAAATCAACGGCTTACCAGCCGACCTCAAGTCGAGTAACCTAACCCAACTTGCTTGCTGAAATCGTCCAGTAAGTTTACCATTGAAGTGGGAAAAACACAGCGTGCTGCACGACATCGAATATTTTAAGCTGGGACTTTGCGCAGTGCCTGAGTAACTTCTCACGAGCATGCGACAACTTGAACTTAGAACCATCGACTTCATACCAAGCGGGATGACACAATCAAGGAACAAAGCAACAACTGTCAAATAAACGGCCTAACCAGCTCTTTTCTATGTCCAGACGAAACTACGACAGATTTCCTGATGCAGCATAAACAGTTTTGACCTGTCCAATAGATAGCCAAGTTCACTAACTTGAAAATTGCCGTAAATCAACAGGCAGAAATGGTGGAAGAATACAAACAGTGTTTCAACAGCTTAGGCCGACACAAATTTATCGAATGCACTTCGGCCAAGCGATGTTTATCAACAGACGTGGAGAAAGACCTTAATCAACTCTATCTATCGAACAAAAGCCGTTTCAAACGCCCAATCAATCCATTGGAAAGGTATGTCGCTTTTTTTGCCAGTAACTTTTCTCAACATTAGCAGTAAACTAATCTGCCTTACCAATCGCAACATATGCAGCAGCTGCTCATACACCCTCAGTCAGCACAAACACTTCATATTAACTTAAGCCAATAACGACAACTTAGCGTACGAGGCTCGTTTACTAAAAAAAAACAATTTACTAAGACAGGGGAGTTTACTAAGACAGGGGAGTTTAAAATAGGCAAGTACTCAGCTAAAATAGTCTTCCTCTCTGGTCCAGCTCGGTAACAGACATCTTAACGCTACTTAGCCTACATTCACTCTACAATCAATCTACTCATTTGAATTTGATTTTTGACCTAATTCATACCAACCATAACAGAACGTGCTCACTCTGCAATCACCGTCGACAAGGCAATTTTTCTGATATAGTCGACAAAAAAATGTGCAAGTTTTGTTAAGCGTGGATGCTTTTATGGGGTAATTCCAAGCGCGATATCAGGATAGGGCCTACAGGCATCCCCCTACACTGTCAAAAGTCTGCCAAGCTGCACAATCACTAACCTTCTCAATCAGAAATCTAATATGGCCGAGTCAAACTCGTTTTTGACAACTTCATTGACCTAACCGAACAAGAATGCGCTATTCTCATTAAAACAATGGGAAGTTTCTGCAGGGAAAAGCTTCAAGTATTCACAAAGCCAACAACTCCAGTTTTTGAAAACAGCAAAAAAGAGCGGGAAAAACGGTGAGCACAATGGAAATCGCAACAAAAACAAATTACTCTGGAAGAGCGAAATGAAAAAACTCAACATCTATCTGGTAGCAAAATTTCAACTGCAATCACAACAGAGACGTACGGCTAAAACATATCATAAAACCAAGCAGTTAAATGAGGAATCGCTTACTACAGACCTGGTACAAAAAAAACAACGTCACGTTTCTAATTTTTCATTATCCAGAGCCGTAGTTAGTTTGGTACCTCCCATACAAGCCCAGAAAATACAAAGTGGCCAACGCTTCCTCGACGTACAAAGGCGTCCCGTTGAAATCTTGCATTGAAACTCAATAGACCTAATAAACAACAAGTTTGGCCTTCTGGTAGGATTCCCGGAAAAACCCGTGGCCTTCTCGGCGGATATTGAAGGCATGTTTCTGATGCAAATGGGTATTAAAGAGATTTATGATGAGAAATAAAGTGC